TGGCCCTTCTGGCATCCTCATCACGTCATCCATGATCTTCCGATCGACGTGGTGCAATATCTGATTGGTGATTGCTATGCGTGGAAACTGCACCACGCACGTACTGTACGAGATCACTTCGTTAGAAAAATCAGAATGGCTAGCATCACGTATAGTAGTGAAATAGTAAGCCCTTGTTTAGTTCTACCCAACTTTCAAAAATTTGTTATAGTACCTGTCACATCGAATGTTTGCAGCCCATGCATGGAGCATTAAATGTAGACGAAAAGAAAAACTAATTGCACAGTTTGGTGGGAAATTGCGAGACGAACGTTTTGAGCCTAATTAGTTTATGTTTGAACACTATTTACCAAATAAAAACGAACGTGCTACAGTAGCCCCAAAATCCAAATTCCCACAACTAAACACAGCCTCGGTGTTTCTGAGGGGCTGTTCGGCTGATGATTTCTACTGATAATAAACCGACTGAATCTGATTTGTTTTGAGAGAAAAACAGTTTCAATTGATAAAGTTCATGCGAAATAAAGACACAGGAGCTAGTAGTACCAAAAGAAATAAAGAATCGATTGCGATTGCGATTGCGAAAGCTCATGCATACAGTACTGCAGATCAAATCGATGACAGTTGCAGCGAGGCGTCTGTGGAAGCCTGATCAACAGTTTGATAAACAGCGGTTTCCATGGTGTAGAACAGCTTAACGCAGCCCGACAGGCAAGCAGAGACAGACGGGTCTAGCCGTCTAGGGAGATTTCACGGCGCCCTTCAAATCCTAAGCACGCCGACCGGAGAGGAGCGCTGGACGACGATGCATACAGTACGTATAGTACAGTACTGCAGAGATCAAATCGATGACAGTTGCTGCGAGGCGTCCGTGGAATCCTGATCCGGTTTCCATGTTGTAGAACAGTATAACGCAGCCCGACAGGCAAGCACACACAGACGGGTCTAACCGTCTAGAAAGATTTCACGGCGCCTGCTTCCAAATCCTAAGCACGCCGGCCGGAGTGGCGGGTGCGCTGGACATGCATGTGTGATTCGCTCGCAGTCGCAGGTCGCAGCTTCAAATCTTTACTCCTTTATACTGTAGATGATAGACTTTGCGTTGATGCAGGCCTGGATTCGGCAGCTGCTTAACCCTAGCTAGCTGTGCAGTACGTGTGCGTGCAGCACGCAGCACGCTCCACGGTCGGGGCACGGGTGCAGCAGCTCTAGGAGTGTGAGAATATGCATAGGCTTTGACTCGAAGCATGTGTCAATTTAAATCAGAACTCCTGTGGTCGTAGTTATAGTTCGGCCGACTGTACAGATTAAAGCCCGTTTCAGAACTTCTTTTCGGCAGGACGAAAAATAAATCAAAATACCGTTTTGGCTGATTGTTGCGAGAGAAAAATACTATTCTATCTGAAAATACTGTTTATGTAAACAGTGCCGCTGTGAGAGCGCTGGCCAGCCCAGCCCCAGCTGGCCAGCCAGCCGAACGCGGCCCATAAGAATTTCGTGAGCAAATGGCTCAACTCCTTCAGAAACTCTGGCAATCCCCAGCAGGAATGTCTGTATTTTTTGTCCAAAAGGAACAGCTAATTTTATTTCCCATTCACTAACAAGCGATTCACAAAGTAAACACCCTATATTCCAATATATTGGTTTAATTTAAAGTGGTTCTTTTAATTGGTTCACAATAATACTTCCTCTGTCTCCAAAAGGATGTAACTATGAGTTGCGTTTCATGTTTGACCAAGTTTTTAATAAATAATATTCACATTTATAGCTTTAAATCAATTTATTATAAAAATATATTTTATATTAATCTAATAGTATTTATTTTATATTATAAATATCTATATTTTTTATCTATAATTGGTCAAATTTGATATACTAAAACATGACACTGTTATAGAATTGTATTCTTTTGGGGACGGAGGAAGTAAGTTATTACTAGCATAATGCATAAAGGTGCAAAACCTAAACTTAGGTTAATTGAATACGTTATAGAAGATAAATCAATATTATTCATGGTGTTGGAATTCGCCAGAATACGCAAGAATAAGCTTGCCATTATTATTTTATAGTACCTCCGAGATATAACACTCACTACGCCATAACCAGCCTGTTCTTTTAGCTAGGCTTGTTCGTTGCTGGATCGTGAAGAAATACTGTTGGTTGGTTTGGTGTGAGAAAAAAATATTATTCCAGCTGGAAATTTACGATCGTCTACGAGATGCTCCAGTCAACCGAACAAGCTGAATATAGGCAATGCCACCATCATTGCGATTGTGCTAGAGCAGGCAATGATTGTTATTCACTGTTGGTTCAGAAATCTAGGATCTACAAAATGGCGGGAAAATTATTCACCCAGTAACGAAGACACGTGTCACTGTTAGATCAATAGATACCACTGGTCATTGCCAGCTAAGGCTGTGACCTGACAGTGATATATCCCTGTCCGTTAATGGCTTGATGACCCGGCAAGGACATGAAGATATCACTATCATGTTATTTATTGACACTGTTGTATTCTCTGTCGTTGGATCCAACTAACCACTAATTGATTAATTCTCCATTATTGAATCCACCTACCACGTTGCTGGTTATAAAACAATGGTCCGGATGCCTTCATGGACAGATGAGACGATGAGATCCCGTCCAACACACATCCAATATGTAATGGTAGCGAGTTCATTTCTTCACCAATCGTAATCTCAATTTGTGTCATCTCATGTGGAAAAAAATCCCTCAACATACACCTTCCATTCTAGTCAAAATGCCGAAGTCAGGGTGCACTGCTGGTAGCAATATAATGCTAGGGTGCCTCGATCCGTTGATTATTAGTCAACGTTGAGCCAGCGGCATTTTGGCTTATTGGCCCCGTTCTCTTTACAGAAAAAACAAGCCGAAACATTGTTCCAGTTAATTTGTTGTAAGAGAAAAATACTGTTCGAGCTAAACAAATAAACTAAAAAGACGGATTATAAGATAAGCGAACAACCCAGTGACTTTTCTAACCCCTAGGACATGCTGTTGCATCTTCAAGAAACACTTGGGTGCTAGAAAAATATTCCTGAGGTATGGTTATACTGTATGCTTTTATTTTAAGTCTTTGTTATCCTATGTTTTATGTACCCTAAATCTTTCTGAATTCACGTGCAATAGACATCATATATATTATTGTCCAAGCGTTTCTAAATCATTTAGAATAATTTACTATTTTAAAGTTTAAATTAATTTTTGTGTGCCTATGAAAACAAACTCGAAATTGAATTGCTTGTACCTCCATTAAGATTCAAAAGACACAAGAAAAATATATTTGGCATATACTGCTATTCTATCATTTGTCGTAGAGATAAATGAAAAAAAATAAATTGTTTTACTATGATAATTTGACGTTATATCTCCATATTGCACTGACTATTTTATAATAATAACTAAAAGTGATCCAACAAATCTAAATTTTTTAATGGAAGCATAACTTTTGTGTATATGGTTAGCATTAAATTTCCAAATGGTTTTAATATAGGTGACATATACATCGCTCAAAAAAAGGATACACCTCATCTAATAATTAAGACAGGTCACAAACCCAAGTATATAATATGCAACCGAGAAAAAAATGTGTACAAAAAATTAACAGTTTTCCGAGTATTTATTGAAAATTTCTAACATACCTTTACTTTTTCACATTAATGAGCATTTTTCGCTAATTTATTAAGCATTTTTTATCATTGTCGGGTCATAATCCTAGCATCCAGACAATGATTAAGATCCTATTTACCCGGCTGTGAAGGTTGCTTTCGCTGTCGATTCGAACTATGAACCGACAGTGATATAACACTACCGGTTAGAACCAAAAACCGGGTAGTGACATATTGATTACCATTGTCGGTTGATAACATGAACCTACAGTGATATGACGAGATCACTGCCATGGCAATGTTATAGCTATAGTATGAAAACCCAAGCTCCTTCTTACTCCTCCTGCCAGCCGCCCGAGCACACCCATCTAAGGAGGTGTCTTTCCCCATCTCCCTTTCCATTGTTGTCGCTATTTTTCTCCAAATTGCTCATGGGGAGATTTGGGTTTTATTGGATTGACATGATCTCCTTGCTTTAACGTGGATACTAGCAATCCTTTCAATTTGTAGCTGGTTTTGTTGGTTATATTGTCTTTGACATGCTTGTTGTTTATCAAATTGCTCCAGGTGAGCAGGACGGGCGCGGCACTTCGGTCTACTGCGTGTGGGCTAGCAAGAAGGGTGGTCTTGCCATGGTGGCGGACCGGTGACCAGCTTGAGGCGCATGGCCAACGAGCAGGGTGGCGCGGGCGTGGCCTTGGGGCTGGCGAGCACGAGGAGCTTCATTGGCAGATTCGTGTGGCGGAGAGCATATGTTTACGGGCCTATTCGCCTCAGTTTGCCACACCGTAGGTGCGGCCTGCGGGCCTGTTTGTATTGTCCACTCAATTTGCCACACCACACCATAGCTGCGGCAACCCAAAATATGGGGAATGTTTTGTTCGCCTTTAAAGCGTGCCTAGGGAGCCATCCAAAGTCCAAACACACAGAGCTAAGCTTTTGTGGTAACCTGTGGCTAGCTGTGGTAGCAATACAAACAGACCCTGCACCTTCGCATATTCATCCATCGATAATAGCGGCTAGCCGCTTTCTTTGTTTTATTTTACTACCTTCGTCCAAAAAGACACAGACACACAATTATAATTTGATCAAAGGCGATCTGACTAGTTGGGTTAAATTTGTAGAAAATAGTATCACTATTTAAGTCACTATATAGATATAATATAAAAATATATTCCACAACAAACCTAGTAGTATTTGTTTATTATTGTATATAAGCATTAATATCTTTTTATACAGATTTAATCAAACTTAAAATAGTTTGACGAGCACTATTTTGGAAATGTGTTCCTTTTAAAAGGAGATAGCAGTCCACAGTATCGCAAACATATATAGAATTGGTTCCAATCAGTACAGCTTGAAAATCATATATCACCAATGATTCCTTGGCATAGACCAGACGCAACCTTTCTTGTCCAGATAAGCTTCCACAACCCTTAGATGCTTTTGCTTAGACGACCCTTCACATTGCGAAAAGCCACCTGGCCGCTGACGATGCATTGCGGTCACAAATTTCGGCAGACATTTTTCTACAAGATGACACAACAGAGGTCTACACTGTATTTTTTGTTCCACTTTCTTCTCAAACAAGGACTACATTCAAACAAGGCAATGTTTTTATTTACAGTATGTTTCACTTTCTTCTCAACAACTGCATATCCCTGAGAAAATGCTGCTACCCAAACAAGGCTATCTGACTCATCTACCAATCACAAGAGGGAAGGGAAATACACTGACCACATACTTACAGTAGATAACTGGACCGAAATGACAAAATGCTCATCAGCCACCTTTCCATGCTTTTGGTTCGACATGATATACTTGTATTTCCCCCATACATTGTAGACCTTTTCTGAAGTGCAAACCTCAATCAGCTTAAAGTTGTGATCGAGACTAAATGCACAGCATGACAGAACCCACATGTACAAATTTGTAATGTTAAGCTGAGTTAGTGAGGTTTAAACATCATATACAGGCATGCGCTCTTCAATTGGCACACGGCAGATTGGACACTTGTTGCATTTCTCCGCACAAGAACTAATACAGAAAATACATCAGAACCAATATGTAGTAATGATTTCAAGCATTGCCTAGATAACTAGGAAGGGCATATATGAAAAGAACAAAAGAGACTGAAACATACTTGCATAAAGTTCTGTGCCGGCAGGGAAGCAGCACCATGCATATCTCTCCCTCGTAGCAAATCCTACAAAGAACCTTCTCCTAAAAAACGAGAAAAAGATGACTGTCAACAGAAATCATGATGAATTAAACAAGCTACTATCTATGACCCATATAAAAGGTAATAACTATTAGTAAGTAATGTCAGTAACTCATTCCGTAACAAAATCAGGGTTACACTGCCTAAGGTCCTTATCGTTGACAGCTTGGACCTAAATGATTCCTTTTGTGTAAGGGCATATGAAGTGAATATGCTTCAGATGGAAAAATAAGAATGCAGTCACAGCAAGGGGCAATACATTTTGAAGCCTTTCGTATTCCTGTTTGGTACAATTCGTAATTTCAGATTGTTCTCCCAACGCTGCCTGTAGCCTCCAAACCTGAAAGTGGGCAAGTGGGAAGTTAATGCATGTGATGATGTGAACTGAAACAAATGTCTAGAGATAATAATTCTGGAATAAAAATTGATTATATCATGTAACCTCTTCTGCAAGGTCCTTTTTAGGCATTTTCCTAACCACCTCTGGTGGATAGCCACAAAATGTATTGTACCTTCAACCAAAGAGTAAATAATCAGCACAGTATGTAAGCATGCAGCAAAACAAGAGTAGCAACGGATTGAGAAAATTAACAGAATTTAAATGAACAGTAACATACCCAGTAGATTCAGTATAAAACAACCGGGCCTGTTCTTCCTTGCTCCCTTCATCAATAGACCACCAACCAAGAAGCCTGCATAACACATGGACAAAGAAGCTGCATAGTTAAAAGCCTGCATCAGGGCAAAATGCTACTCTGTGCTTCAAGCAGGCCAAAAACACATGCAAGAAAAACAGATACAAATTTTGCTCATATCAGATATTAGATGGTACCTTGAACCATGATGAAGAAAAGCAAAGCAATCACGAACATTTGATGAGGCTGTAAGGTAATTAGGACTAACTGGTCCATTACGCAATAGCAGAACCACCTTCTCCACTAATCTTGCTAGAGAGAAAAGGACACCAGCACCTTGCAGAATAAATAGTGGCGAGAAAAGAGCAAATATTGGGATGTGGCGAGCGCTTGCTGGTGTGCCCTGAAACAAAATAATACATGTAATGAGAGTTTGAAGCTCATCATTGATCAGTTAACAGAGAACAGCCAGTAACACTTATCAGCTAGTTGCTGTTTCCAGGGTTAGAACAGTTTGCCACAGAAAAACTAATTAAACTTGGCCAGAATTTATGACTTGTTTTCAGCTTTTCCAGCTGTTTGAATAAAACTGTATATCACAATGATTGTCAAGTTGTTTTTTGATCTATTCAAATAATGTCATGAGATGGTTTTTTTAAAAAAGAAACAAAACGTTTCTTGCAATTCCATCCTTCTACAATTCATCAAACCAATGTTCCCTATTTCCACAAGACTGGGATGGAACATACCTCCAACCGCATACAAAGCAATACTTGGAAAGCCACAAGAGGTATTTTCATTACATGACCCCCAATATCAGGGAGACCACAAAGCCTCTCTTGTTCATGATCTTCTAGTGATGGGAGGACAAGACCACTTTCCCAATCACGGAATCTAATTGCCGCCGATGATGAGCTAGCCTCCCCATGAGTGGGAGACTTATGAATCATGGGATTAAACCATCTTGTACAGACAAGAAATGCAAAGCATTCCGCAATCCTGGATAAGCAAGGTGCCGAATTAGACTAACTGAAATCTCATAACAAGGAATAATGCCACTGCAACAAATCTCACCCATAATTTATAAACAAATCCCACCATCCCAAAGCACCAACATCACCTGCCATGTGCAACAATGCGTTATTACAAAAGCATTGAAATTGTGAAAAACTTAAACCAGTTACTAGTTCAACTGATTTCACAAGCACTAAAAGAAAAGTCCCTTCTATTTTCAAATACTATAATAAAGAAGAAACAAGTTGTGTCAAGAAGAAATAATGTGACAAATTCTAAGGATTCAAATTAAGGAACCCTGGGGAGGAGATCAGTTTTGTATGTAATGATTGGAAAGAAACCAAGGAAACTTACCAGACAGCTTGAGAAGGGTGAATGTTGTAGCAGCTATAAGAAACACCATTGAAATTGCAACCCAAAAATGCTGGTTACAAAAAGGTTAAACATGATAAGATAAATGTCTAATATTCTATTCTAGTCGGTTAAAAATGATGCATTCTCTAGAATCTGGATCGTCCCAGCTAATAGTAGGATCTAATACAAAAGATCAAATGGGTGGAAACATTTAATGCTTCTAATTATGAGGGGTAGAGGTGATGTTTTATATTGATTATTCATTAAGCATTCGTATGAAATGCAAAAAAGAAAACTGTAGCTGGCAAAGAAAATATCAAAGAGCAATACTGTTACAACACATGTCTGGAAAAAATACAAGCCCTAGACTCCTGGCAAAAGCTTGTTCTTTCAATTAGACAAAACTCAATATGTTATAACAATGAATTTATATATCTGTTCATTGTATCAGTTTGCAATAGTGCATCAGAACTAGCTCAACACAACTTACACCTGCCCAAAAGTGCTTAAATGATACTACAGCAAGGCCATGGAAGACATCATTGTATCAGTTTGCAATAGTGCATCTGAACTAGCTCAACACAGCTTACACTGGCCAAGTGCTTAGATGATACTTTAGCAAAGTGATGAAAGACATCTGAACAGTTAGTCCAATATTCTTGTTTTATCCTAATAATCTTTCCAATAATGTCAATATATAGCATCATATATTAGTCCTCTGTATTCAACTTTGCAGTTGATTTGTGGCATATGCAATGCTCCATTCCATTACCAAAGAGTCAAATGAATTGCCAATATATTGCACATCTTAAATTTTCCTGGTTAAGTGATACTCATAGCCTAAAGTTCTTTTTTTTACTGAACAATGGGCTGCAATTCAAATCAACGGAGAAATTGTGCCAAAAGCAGTCAGATCCACTAGTATGAGACTTACAGGAAGTGTCTCCCAAATAGCTTCATCACTCATGCTTTCTTCATCTCCAGGCATTAAAGCTCTACACATTCTGAACAATAAAAAAACCCATGCCAAGAAATACATACACATCAATGTCCACAGTGAATATAGTACAGTAACCCTCCAAAAGTAAAAAATAATAGTTTATTTTTCTTTGGACAATGAGATTCACAATTTGGACAGAAAAAGATAAAGAGGATTCAAACAATGATCAATATCCTGAATGTGTGCAAACACGGAGGTGTGAAGTTATACCACAATATTATGGCACAAGCAGAACAGTTTAACATACAGAAGGATATTGTGAATTGATTATTTTTGTAATGCTGTCAAAAGAACAATGGAAGACAAGCCATAAATGTAGATCCTGTGTCATAAGTTTTCCAAGCCTTACACATGTAGTTTTGCAGGCAATGGGAAGCGATAAAGGCTTACGCAGTAGAAGAAAGTGGTAGCTTAAAGATTTGCTTGGGCGTACCCAGTGCAGAGAGCTCCCACTCTGTGCGGGGTCTGGGGAATGGATATAAAAATATAATTTTATACTTTAGACTGGTTAGGATATACATAAATGCTTCCACTGAAACACAAGTTATGATATAGTACTTTTAAAGATAGTTTTTACCCTGCATAGATAATTGAGAGCCTTATAATTGGTTCCAGAATAAAGCTCAAGCTAAAACACCATGATGAAGGAACAATAAAAACAGACAATTCACTTTTTTATACCATGCTACACTGCCTGTAAACTCGCATTGGTACATGAGGGATTTGACCATTTACCAAGATAGTTTTAAGGCCAACATACACCTTTCTTTCTTAGACATAAGGGCAGTCCCAACCCAAAAACTACTTGCTAGTTTCCATAGTTACCACGTCATCAAGAAACCATCCGTGGAAACTAAACCATCCAACACTGAAACCGCTACCGTGGGCCATCTTCTATCCATCCCTAATCCGCGTCTGTCTTCCCACTCCTGTAGTCCCGTCCTTATCCAAAAGAGTACGGCAAGGGCGCGACTCGAGAGACGCGAGCCGGGCATGGGTGGCATAGGCGTCGCCAGCAGGTGGCGGCCTGGCGCGTGCAGCGACGTGGTCGGCGCTTGGAGGTGTGGGCGGGCGCAGCAGTGGGTCTCTGCGTGCTCGTGCAATCCTGCTTGCTTCTTGGTGCTCTATGCTATGATTCCTGATATGATTGCATTGCATTGTTTGTTCCTTCGTGTCTGCTGCTTCCTCTTATGCTACATCTTGTATTTTTTGTGTTCGATGAAATGCTTCAACTGGACTGCTATCACGAGATGTGATGTGCTTCCTGCATGGTGGTTTAATTAGGGGCACGGCAACGGACGCCTTGAGCAGGTGGTGCGGGCGGGCTGCGCGCCGGCGAGCACGAGCGGCGTGAGTAGGTTCCTGTCCGCGAGCATGGCTGCGCGTCGGCGGCGCACATGTCCGCGGGCTGGCGAGCGGGGCAAGGCAAGCACACGCGGCAGCGGGCAAGGCGCGACGCGCAGGAGTCCGACGATGGGCCGATGGAAACGATGAGGATTCCCCAACGCGAAATCAGTCGTTTCCTTCCGCCTAAGCACGCGAGTCGACTCCGTTTCTCAGATGAGAAATGATTTCTACTGATTTTCATCTCCTTACCTCATTAACTCTTCTTCCACCTCAGCATTTTTTCCTACATGGCAGTATCTTTAATGCTATGGAAACTATCCCAGTTTCAGGGTTGGGACTGCCTTAATGTGGCAAATGAAAAAGCTAGCACAGCAAGCAACTGTTGGAATTATGGATGTTGGACTGCTTCTATGGGTCCATTAGATACTTATAAGACCAGGCAAGTCAATTGTCTACAGCGATTACAAGAATAGGCAAAGTAAAGTACTCCCTCCATTCCAAATTATAGGACGTTTTAGATTTTCTAGATACGTAGCTTTTGCTATGTACTTAGATATACACATACACACTAAAAACAATATATCTAGAAAAGCCAAAACGTCTTATAATTTAGGATGGAGGGAGTACATAACAAGGTATATCATAACAGTTGAAATCATACAAAATTGAACTAAAATTTAAAAACTATTTCAACAAAAAGTGTGGCAGAAGATGTAAGAAGCCAAACTGTTCAGACAATAGTAACTCCTGGTTATGTGCAATGCATTCTCATCGTTGGGAAAAAAAGAACATACAGTGACACAATCTAACAATCCACAGGAAAGAAAAGGTAATCGCTCAAATTGGTTACCTAAAATTGTCAGTAAGGATAATTGCTTCAAAGGCCAACAGAGGAAGGAACACAATCTTCAGATCAACAGATGGATGATTTCTAACTGGGCAAGCACAAAGGAAAAGAAGTGTGAAGATTACAGAGCTAACAGAACAGAGAAACTTAACATAAACAATTCTAGGAATCTCAATGACCACTGGACAAGGTTTTGTTTACCCAATGGATTCTGACCCTACCTCTTATGCTTTCAAGATATATGCAAAGAAGCAGCTCGAACGCAATTAGTAAAGGCGCGGCAACAATCGAATGACAGGGTGCCCACTGCAAGCAAAAAGAAACATATCAGGCTAATTGGATGCAAAATGAGCAATGATAACGCAAACAGTGAGAAGGTCAGTTATAATAGACGAGCCAGTATGTAAATCTCACATGACGGCCATGAGGCAACGAAGGGGCAGGCATTGAAAACCTTCCACGCGCAACGATTCCATGAAAGAGCCATAGTGGAACGAATATTATCCTACATGACCAAAGTAGCATCATCAGCAATTCATATCGGCTTCACCATTGTCGATTTATAGTAGTTGTCATAGAGTAATCTATAATTCGGTATTACCTAATTCTAGCTAGAAGATTTTATCGTTTCCTTTGGCATATCAGAACAAAGCCTGAAAGGGGCAAATTTGGCATGAAATCTACTGCCTATTATCCTAGACTCCTAGTACAGTACCGAATGAGGAAATGCTGGCCGGCATCAGCTCGATTATAACTGGGGTTAGTGTTAAGCATCAATTGCATACTACCAACAACTCTCAACATTCATCGGAGCCCCAGACAGGTAGCTGAACTACACGCCAGCCGAGCAGATTAATCCAGCACCAGCTACCAGCAGCCAACCCTGAATCGCACGCACCACGCAAAAAAGCGAGCATAGGAATCGGCCGATTCCAAAACTACATCCGCATCGCAGGGGGGACGCTCTCCGCCCCAAATCACAACGCAACCCAACAACTCGAAGCCCCTCCCAGCTCGCTGAAACAAAACCAATTAGATCGAATCTAAGCGGAGGCGGAGGCGGAGGGGGAGGGACGAGAGCCGCCGGGTGGGAGGGGACGGGGAGGCGAGGCGAGGCTAGGGTTTAGAGCGCGTACCACCAGGAGTACGTGGTGCGGCCGTCGACCCTGAGCGCGAGGAAGAGAGTGAAGCAGAAGAGCGCGGCGTGCGCCGCCGCCGCCTGCGCCGTCTTCCCCACCCCCGCCCACGTGTGGGCCCGCCGCCGCTGCATCTCTCCTGGCTCCTGCTCCCTAGGCCCCCGACGGGAAAGCCAGCCAAATCTCCCGCTTCTCCGCCGGCTCCGCCGCTTCCTTGGACTCGACGCTCGACGCTCGGCGATGGGTCGGAGGGGACAAGGAGGAATGGGGGGATAAAAGTAAGGAACAAAGGGTACAAGGGTTTCTCTCTCTAGTGTAGGAGTATTGATGGAGTCATGAAGTATGATGAGAGGGACGATTCCATTCTGCGCTCTCTCTCTCTCTCTCTGCGCTTTTCCGTAATGGAGTAGTAGTACTATAATCTAGCAGTAATCTATTGCTGAGCCGCTGTCCATGGAGATTGGAGAGCCTGCCGGAGGGGATGGATTGGATTGGGTAGGGTCGGGTCGGGTCAGAGGCAGGCGCACCGTACCTGGTGTTTGGAGAAGCCGACGAGCTGTTTTTTTTTTTCTCCTCCGTTCCACCAACGGTAGGAGTATTTTTTTTTTTAGTGCGACTTGGTGGCTCCGCCCGCGGCCCCGCCTCCGTCCGGCCCCGTTTTGGCGTCGCTTGCACGGCACACCCTCCCGCCACATTCGTCCGCCCGCCCCGCTCCCCACCGTCATCCGCGCACGCCTACACCGATTCGCCGAGACGGGTCGCTCGCGGAGAATATGCAAATAATAATAATATGAGTAGGGCTCTGTCCCTAAATATCGGTTGTTTTCGCTTTTCGAAAATAATTTTGACTAAATATAAATTAAAAAATATTAATATTTATAATATATAATTAGTATTATTAAAAATATCTTTGAATCTAGTTTTTAATAAATTTATTTTGAGATGCAAATATTGCATATATTTTCTAAAAAATCGAGTTAAACTTATGACACATACATCAACGACTATGGTTATTTAGGACGGAGAAAGTAAGTTCGCTAAGCAAATAATAATAAGTACGTCATTCGTAAAAGCATATTTCGCTGGTCGCTATCCTTGCGGCTGTAGTAGGCACAGCCGCACAAGAGATAGCTTGTTGATGGTTGGTGGCCTCGTGGGTTCGGCGGCTTCGGCACATCCTGGGACGACGGAGACCGGCCTTTGGAGTTTGGACATCATCTTAGGTAGATCATCTTTAAATTCCAAATTTTTTCACTCTCTCTATCACATCAATTTTTAGACGCATACATGGAGCATTAAATATAGGTAAAAAAATAACTAATTGCATAGTTTGGTTGTAAATCACAAGACGAATCTTTTGAGCCTAGTTAGTACATGATCGAACAAAGTTTATCAAATACAAATAAAACGTGCTACAGTGTCCAGATTGCAAAAATTTGCAATCTATACCAGGCCTAGGACGATTAGCAGGAGTACGTACTGCTGTCTAGTCTACCGTGTCTGATGTCTCCCTTTCAGTTTCCATTTGGATCGGAGAGGTGCGAGTGCAAGATCCGGAACAGTCTGGTTTCGAAGAATTTCAGCAAGCTTGATCCTGATGCATGTCATCCTTGAAAATTATGCTCTCTGGCACCAAATAGTTAGTGCTACGAGCATGTTGGCTCTTGGCTATGTCGTCGCCTCGTCACGGATTTGCTATTGCCTATTTGGTTTTTTGCAATAAAAATTTACCATAGTTTGATTAAGGTCAAAGGTTGACTAATCTGGATAGTTGTTTGGTTGCAGCAACCCGTGGCAACATTTCTTTCCAGCAAGCTAGATCTCACACCATAACACGCTAATGATATCTAATAAACAACCTATTTGGATTCATAATTTAATTGTCATCCAAACGTGCTAGAGTATGAGGTGGACTAATATAATCAAAACGTTGGATTACAAACATTCTATAGTCTACCTCGGACCTGTGTTTTTGGTGATTGTGAGTATTTTTCACTTGAAATAAGAATAATCCACCACACTAATTCAAGAATACAAACATTCTAATTATTATAGTTCACATAATAATAATCATATGTATAATTCAGATTGTAATAATCTAGCTATGATTCAAACAGGCCCAAAGTATGGCAAGATCCATTCAAACTTGTCAACTTGTAGAAAAGATTTTGAGCGCATAATCCAGACAAGTATGGCAATTTTTGTACAAATAGTGACAACCTTAGACCATAAACTAATAAACGGGACCTAAGTTTGTATAATATACATGCCTCAAACCAATTTTCCGGTGCCTTGACGCCTAGGGCTGTAAAAAACTCAAGGTGCTTGAGGTATTCTCTCTCTCGCTCGCTCGACTCATCTTAGACTTGCTTTAAGATCTGCTCGTATTCTAAAACGAGCCAAGCCCAAGCTTGAACCAAGCCTCATAAGCCTTGTGGTTGTGATACTATAAGCTCAAGAAGCTCAAGTAAATACGCGTGTTACTGCCAATTGTCCAATTATATATTGCTGGCTACATTCTCCAAGTTATATGGCCCACAAATGGACATAACTAAAGGCCAATTACTAGAACTTGAGGCATCGAGCTTGTTCGAGTTCATCCCATTAGTTCGGGTAGGGTGGTGTTTGGTGGAGAACAAGTTGAGATTTAATTATTATAATCTTGTTTTCCAAGTATGCGATATTTATATCTATGTTTTTAAGGATGGAATTGTTTATTTCATTATAGGACTTGGGGCCACACATCACATATCAGATGGGATGGCTGCATCAATTTTCTTTTCTAAACTCATCCAACATTCAAGAAAATCTTTCTCTGAGAGCCACATCATTGCTCTTCTCATCCTTCACTCAAATAACAGAGAGCGAAATGTATCATGGGTTCTCTAAACTTTTCCCTAATTTCTTTAGGGTCCATGCATGGCGAATAGTAAGAAATTAATCTTGGTGCACCACTCTTGAAACATACATAAACCTGTTAGAATATATGGTAAATATTGGGCTCTTGAAAGGTTAAAATACATTTTACCCTATACCAAGGAACCGGGCAAAATGAACTTAGCATCGCCCCTGGGTCCATGAGCTCTCAAAGTGATCAGCTGGGTCTTTCACTCATTCTAAGGGCATGTTTGGCTAGGCTTCGCCCAGCTCCGGATCTCACACTGTATTGTGGAAGTACTATGGCGGAGCCATGAAGATGCAGCTCCGGTGGCTCCTCTCTTCTCGCAGGTGGAGCCGAGCTAGTTTTCTCAGCGCTACAATGACGCACAGGAACATACAGTGATGCATAGGAACCTGGGAGGCGGAGCCGGAGCCATCATGAGCCTCACCAAACGCGCCCTAATACTCCACTGTATGTCTAATCATAACATAATTTCACATTTCGAATGAAATATTTGAAAATTGTAAAACCCCAGGCGATCGATCGAGAGTTCATGAACACAAATAAGAATGATAAAAAAAAGGTTTGAAAACTTAGGGTTTGTTTGGCACAGTTTCATCAACAGTGTCGGGGACCTAATACCGGGGTACCCAAGGAGGTGGAACTAATAACCATCGAACGTTAAAAGCTCCCGAACGGACAAGAGCACGGCTGCACTTCTTGCCCAAACGACGGGAGTTTTGTTCCGCCTCGCCCGAACGCCCGTGGACCCACTCCACCTTGCCCGACGGCTGGAGGACGACTCACCCGACCCCCAAGGGATACACTCCGCCTCGCCCGACCCCCGAGGGCTGGGCTCGTCCTCGCCCAACGCCCGAGGGTCGGCTTTACCTCATCCAACGACCGATGACGGATCTCGCCTCACCCGATATTCGGAGGCTGGCTCCGTCTCACCTGACAAACCGTGCCCTGCACCCTCATGATGATGGCTACAGGGTAAGACAAGACGTTCAGGTCAACCACAGCGTCAGACGCCATGCCCTGCACCCCTGCAAGGAAGTACCGTCAAGATGTGACAGACAAGCGCCGACCTCCCAGTGCGTGGCGAGCTCGAATAGTGTTGCGGCGCCGCTCTCCGCCCCTCTGATATATAGGCGCCGCCCTCGGCCTCCGGACGAAGGACCCGACACGGACATCGACAACCACGACGTCCCAAGGGCCAACCAACAGTCCACGCCGCGCCGTCGACTTACACGGGGTCGGGGCTCAACAATCCTATCCGATCCACCGCACCATGGCCGGATGGGACGCCCACTTGCTAAAAAGGCGGGGCATGGCCTCACGAAGATCGATGGGTATGCTACTTGACACGATGCGCCATGATAGGCGAGGCGGTGTGGGGAAGAAGGAAGACTTCAGTGTCTCAAAGGACCTTCTCGCTCTTAGTATTTTTCCCCATCTCAGAACGCTGCCCCCCCTTGTCTATAAAAGGGAGGCGGGGCTCCCCACTAAGGGGATCGACGCCGATTTAGCTAGCACACGCACACGCACCATACAACCGGCAAACAATGAGCTCTTGGCGTTCTTTCCACTACTCCATCAGGGACTTGGGATCTCTCCCAACCATTTGTACCCCCTACTACGAACCTCATTCGGTGTTAATAACACGAGCAACAACAGACTGGACGTAGGGACATTCAGCCTGAACCAGTATAAACCTTGTGTCCATTAGTGCACCATCCAGGCCTAACGCGCATTAAGTATAAATTTACTAGCCGGTGTTTGTTCGAAACACCGACAGTTCATGCGCTAGGTAGGGGCCTTTGCGCGTTCTAAACTAGGCCACGGATGGCTAACCACAACATCAGCTGGGTCCCGGCGCAGACGTGCGTTTCGGGAACTTGGATTTCATCATCACGGTGGGAGGAGAGTTGGTACGGGCGCACACCGCCATCCGATCTCTTCCCCCCAACGGCCTTGACCATGAGAGGCTTGGGCGCCAGCTCGGCGCCTCCCTTGGACCACGGTAGTCTAGGGAGAACCAGCATCGCCTCGCCCTCGCCAACGACGACAGCATGGCGTGACCTTCCGGGGAGAGACACCTCTCTCTAGAACGCCACGTGTGGAGCGCCCCGACAGCGTTCCCGTTCGGTCTCCGCAACGCCGCGGCAACCGCTAGCCACCTTATGGCGCTACACATGGTTCAACCGCCCGCAGACAACGAGTTCGTGGGGGTAATTGAACACGACACGG